AAGTCGCCGAGGGCTATTATATAGCGGCGAGGTTGGTGTGCGGATGGGCAGACCATTCCCGGCACCATTCGCGTATGGCTGAATGCTTGGCCTGCTCGCGTGCCCATGAGATAGTTGAATGGAATAAAGGCGCACCGCGTGTGTCTGCGCCTCGCTTTGCTTCCTCGTCCGCCCGTTCGTTGCCCTGGATGCCCTTATGTCCCGGGACCCACATGATCTCTACTTGAGTATCTATGCGCCGAGATAAGAACTCGTCAACGAAACGACGGAAAATAATAGAAGCAGACTGAGAAGGGTGTTCGGAGGTCGTGGTGATGGATGAGATAGCGGCCTGGTTGTCCGCGGCGAAGATGATTCGAGTTGGAGAAGTTGGATTGGGTTCATCGCCGGCGATATGGACCGCAGAGGCGGCGCCTGCAGCGAGCGCCCACATCTCTGCGTCATAGACGCCGGCTCGCCGTCCGAGGCATCGCTTCCCCGCGCGGATTTCCTGGCCATTGCGAAAGATCACAAAGCCAGCACCCGTGCGTCGGTGCCTGTGACCGTCGACCCGTCGACGTGAGCCGTCTGTGAAGACCACTATCGTCCGCGGGTCGTGCGAGTAGTCGTCGATGCGCACACGGACGTCGCGGACGTATAGCGCGCGGCGTCTCTCATCAGCATCGCGTTCCGGGAGGGTTACCAGCAGGCGGTCCCCCCAATTGTGGTGTCTGGACCAAGGGGCACGTGATGAGTAGTCCCTCCATGGTATCAGGTATCTGCCTTGCCCTACGTTCGCATGCACAGCCCGTTCGCTAAAGGCGATGCGCCCTCGACTCTCGTGATACTAGGGTCTGCAGGAAAGCACTCTTATAGCTCGCAAGTTCAGTCTCAAGGCATCCGCTTCTTCACATGCCTTCTTGCGATCCTGCGCTAAACTATGCCATCCAGATGGCTCCGCAGGGCCGAGGATACGCTCTTTTCAATCCTCAGCCTCTACGGCGCGGCAATGGCCTCGTCCGCGATCCCCGCGTCGAGATTGGGGATCTAGGATACGTCTCCGATGGCTCTTTCCATCTGCTCTTCAATGTCCATCGACGGCCGGACGATCCGTTACAGATACACGGGGTACCCGCCGGATTCCGACCTCTTGAACGTAACGCGCGGCTGATAGAGTACCACGACCGCCCATGTCCGCGAGTGATGCACAGTAACGAAAGATTAGCTACCGAGCTGGGCGCAGGGGTATCAGTGTGCGTACGAGCTCTGAGTGTCAACTGAATGTGGTGTGCTCACGATCGCCGAACAGGGAGGGTGTGGGGGGTGCCTCGATAAACTGGACTCTCGAGCGCGAGAGGGGAGCCACGTTGGCGTATTTTGACAAGCACGATGTCTGGGACGCCCAGAACAAGGACTATTACAAACAGTACTTCCGGAGCAACTACAAGTCCTGGGTCGAGTTCGTGAGACTACTCGGCATCAATCGTACCTTGAAGGATCTCGTCCTCGTCACGGGCTGTGATCGCACGCGGGCATGGGCCACGCTGTTCAGCGAGAGCCGCACTGTCGACGCGCGCGTGTCTCTCGAGGTGCAGACGGCTGTCGGTCCAGGCCTGTCTCTCACTTGCTCTGTCAAATGGGGCACTTCGCATACTTTTCCTTCATTGTCCGGCCCATCTGCGGCGGAGTTGTCGTCTTCCGCGCAAGCGCTCATTGGAGATCCGGAAGATGGCGATAGTGCGGGACCAGATCTCGATCCTTCGCGTTCGTCAGTTGTCAAGTGCGCCTCTCGGTACTTACTACCATGCCTGTATAGATGTCACAGCGGACCAATGCATGTTCATCCGGGGGTGGCAAGCACGCTCGCTCTTCCGCATAACAGATCTCAAAGCGGCAGCGGGTTATTACGACCCAGGGACACATCAAGATACCGATGACGCTGATACTCCCATGGCAGTTGAGGGAGAGGTCTGCCAGAACCTCGTGGAGGACACGATCGAACAATCTCACAATACGGTTCGTGGACGACACCGACGTACCGAGACTCTTTCTTGATGATCATTTCAGAGCGAGACTCTTCTATCTCTGGCGCTGGAAGCTGTTGAGAACGTGAGCTGTTGTGCGCTATACTCATTACCGTTGCAGTGTGGCCGACGATTCTTAGAATTGCGAATCTCGGCCTGACGATGACATCATCCTCATGCATGACGACGAACTGGAGTTGTATTTACCTGATCCTGCGAAGATGGAAGTGAGCATCATGTTTGCATATCTCAGTGTCGAACTGATATGACGACCATCGCGTGTAGTGGAGTAGCATCGAGAGTGTCCGACATTATCTCGACAGGCGTTTCCGTGAATGCCCACCCGAACTTCTACCAGGATCGGCACAAAGACCGCCGAGGCGAGGTGCGCACTCGTCAAAGATGCATGTATGCACATCTTCTATCTTGCTGACCAGTCCACGAAGAGTCAAATGCCGTAGACGGACTTTTGGATGAACATTCATTGTGTTCATCTGAAGGCGAGTGCTCAATGACTCTACATGATTGATTGTGCTCAACGGGTGCTCTGGCATATCTAGAAGGCGGGCTCTGGGGATCGCTCCTGAGCTCCCTATCCAGGGTGGACAGGATGGTGTTCGGACTGAACCGATGGACTGGACCCAAACAAGCCTTCATTATTCCGATGAAGATGGAGATAGATGTTATGCCCATCCTCGCTGGAGAGAAGTTGGGTCCTTCTCCGCTCTGGTTTGTTCGCGAAGGCGGAGGTCTAGGAGTTCCCGTGGTCGATAAAGTGCCTCCGATATGGAATGGCGGCCAAGAGTCTCTGAAGGTCGGCCTTTTAGCAGAGCAAACGGCGGGAATCAAGATCACAGTGAGCCTCAAATTCCGAAATGGCTCTTGCACCTAACGTTTTTTCTTCCGAAAGTGGCCGGGATATCAGCAGTGGAAAAGCCAATCATGGCGCGGCAGTCCGGACTGCTCATTCACGCATCTCGCGGATCTCGTTACGCGAGAGGTCCGTGCATTTCTAAGTGTACGTCGCTCTTATTTTCCTGAGAATCGTTATTCTCAAGCGGACTATCCTCTAAGGAACACGACTCGAGTCTGGGAAACATCGGCACTCAGTCGAAATATGTGATCGGCACTCGACCTGGCGAGATTTCCGCTCCGGACGTCATTCTCCTTGGGATAGTCAGTGTGCGTGGTGGTGGTCGCGTGATGCCTATACTACAATTGCGCGAAGATTTTGGTGATGCTTGCTGCCTGAATGCATAATTAATAGTTACTAACTGATCGGACACGTATAGAATTCGCCTCTCCGCGTGAGGGGAACATATCTAATCAAGAGCTCCCAGGGGGGCCGTAGAGGTTTGATCACCCGTTCGTCAGACTTGCGAGGCTGCGTACTTATACGATTTCGCTTGTCTCGGCATTAGTAGAGCAATTATTCAGCAAGTTTATAAGTAGCTTCTGTAGTGAGAATTACAAGATACAGTAAATGGTGACCTGCTGGTAGAGTTTCTTATTCAATTGTTCTGGACGACATCGTGGTAGTAAGAGGGCACGTAGCCGACGACCGTGGGCAAGCAAGACTATCTCACAGCTAGATAGCATGGCCGACTGCTGTCAAGAGGTTTGTATTGACGCATTCCGCCCTCAAAAGGTCAAAACTTCCCTGTGATAGGCAAGCTGTCCACCTCAGATCCAGAAATAACGAAGAGATTAGAAGTAGCGATAAAAGACAAGGTGAGACTCATATGTACTCAAATTCAAGCACCAGGTGTCTCCAGCCCCTGCTAGTTCACGTAGTGGACGGACACGCAGGGCGAGAAACCTCAGGATGAGACTGAATTGACCATCTCAGCTATGTGAGCCAAGGCGTCGGTCAATGCTGGCGCAAGATCCAGCCCCACAGTCTTCTGCCACTCCGCCGCACTGAGCCTAGCTCTGAGTCCCTGCGCTTCGTCTTCAGCACGAGACAATCCACGCTCATCTACCTCTCGCTGACTGAGTTTCCTCTCCACGGCAAGAAGCATCACTACATTGAGATCAGAATTAGACATGTGGTCAAGGCTGATAGACTTCGCGGCTCACTGGAAAGCGGCGCATCGTCCCAGAGGGCATTCTCATCACCTAAAGCCGTTCGGAGTTGAGTGAGGGTAGAGCTTCGCTCTTCGTTGAGCGCCTGTAGTTGAGAGTTGAGGCTCTGCACCTCGTCCATCCGTAATTGCACTTCGCGCTCGAGCTCGGGTACGCGCGCAACCCTTGCCTCCAAGTCCGCAATCTGTGCCGCCAATCGACGGTTCTCCTCGCGTTCTACCTTCAGATTCTCCTCATGGCTGCGTTGAGAGGACTCAAGCTCGGCAACGCGTACGCGCGCAGTGCCGAGCTCGCGATGCAGAATCTCCGAGTTGTTCTCCACGGACCGTAACCGCGCCTGAAGGTCCGGAAGCTTCGACACTTCCTGTTGTAGGACCTGTATGTGCGCGGCCTGAGCCTGTATGTGCGTGGCGCACGCATTGTTGGCCTGTACGAGCATTGCCTTCTCCACCAGAAGGTCTCTGACGACGTTTTGCATGGCGGAGTACTCCTGGGGAGCAAGTGCGGGAGCAGGTGCGGGCGCGGAAGAACGAGACGAGAGCATCACCCCCGATGATGAGGTTTGAGACGCCTTGGCCTGCGCCGTCATCGACCGTGTGATGGGGAGCGGGCCCTTGGTCTTGCGGAGCTTGGTCGGGGGAGCGACGGTATCGTCGCTGTCAGCGAGCGCCGAGTGCGGGCGCTTCAGCGATGTCGGAGGATGCGCGCCGGTGATAGGCGCCGAAGATGATGTCATGCTTTGTATGCGTGAGTCCGTAGCATCGGCAGCAGAAATGGAGGGGTCTTGTGAGGAGACAGCGGAGCCAGACGCTTGAGCGGGCATCGAGGGAAGCGGCCCGATGGGGTCGCAATCCGACGCGTTGAGACCACCAGCGCCCGTGGTCTGGGAAAAGAGCGACGGCATCGAACACCCACCCTCACTCGACGCTACCGGGTGAAGTTGAACCTCGGACGAGGTCGACCCACCCGGCAGCTGGCCCACCGACAACGAATTCGGCGGACCATCCGACATCGAGAAGCGGAGAGGCGGCAAGGCCGTAGGGATGATGGGTGAAAGCGCTTCGGCGTCCTGTATTACAGTTGTCGACGGTCCTGCTACTGAGAAGGCAGAGTCTGGCGCAGAAGCTCGGCCTTTACGCGAGAGAACTTGGCGAATGCGTGAATGAAAAGAGCTGCTGACGAGGGATGGGTTGCCCGCGTATGCGTGCACCGCAGACCATTGTGGATGATCACGTAGATCGCGCTTCGCATTGGGTAGTACATGCCTGGATCGCGTACAATGTCAGCGACAGTCTCAATTGTTGTAATAGATATATGGGAACGTGCATAACAACACTTTTGCTGTGCGAGAGGCGTCAGCGATGTAGACGAATTAACGCGATCGGGTGCACTCACACCCCGTAGCCTCTCATGAACTCAATGCTCAACTGGTTGACCTTCCTCGTCATGGCGGGAATCAGAGGCTGAGATGACGTCGTCAGTCAAGCTCAAGCGGATAGAGACAAACGTAGTGTACTCACGTTATCATACCGCCGATTGTTGTGAATCGTTTCGACGGCGCCGGGAACCGTTGCGCTGATCGTGAGCTTGTTCTGCGCCGGCCTGCAACCTAGGATATCGCAAAGAGCGTAGACCTTTGCAAGAGCCTTCTTGCCGACTGGCTCCCACTTGGGAGGGAGCAAACCGTGCTTCTGCGCCTGTGCTTCACAGTACACAATGCGCACGCCGACGGTCACTCTGTCATCGTCGGCGAATGGCCGGCTCCGGGAAATGTTTTCCAACGTGGGATCCATTGCCAGTGCGCGCAATAGGTAGAAGCGGGTGGGAGTAGGAAGAACAGCTACGCATATCAGCGAGCGCATATGAAGGGTCTGAGAGGTATGCGCGCGAGACGCAGCAACTTCGCGAGCATCGAAGCTCATGGCCGGATGAACGCCAGAAGTCTCGCTCTGACCTCGCTTCGTGCAACTTGCTACTTCTGCGTCGCAACTCTCTTCTCAAGAGAGGCGGTCTCTCGAAGAGTCCATTTGCATGGGTAGGAGTTGAATGCTTAACAGCGTACTTATGGTCACGGTGAGTCGGATCCAGGCGGAGCACGCTGGGATTGATTCGACCAGAAACTGAGCATTGGTTTCATCGATATTCATCTGGGGAGGATATATTCGTATCGAGTGCCCGGGAGGACAGGGTGATGGTGCCCGTAGATGGTGGTCGGAAGGAAGACGCGCGGGCACATTCCGGCGCGGCTGAGGTTGCCTTCTGACCATCATGATCGCCTCCTCGACAATATCATACACATTCCAGTCTTTGCTTTGCGGAATTGTCCACATCTGGCAGAGCCAGCTTTGAGATATTGAAACCCACAAGATAAACGGCTCATGGCACAATTTCGTTACCTGGTGCTTCCAGGGCGCAGGTTAGGGAGCATTCAAGCTCTTGCGGTCTCCGTAAAGGCAGTATCCTGGCGAACAGTACAGTGCTAAATGTTGGAGCGAACGCAGGCTAACTACTGGAGAATAACAAACACCGGTGCGTACTTCCTCTTTGCCAGCTACTCGCCAACTGATGATCGCCTTTCCTTTGGAGCCAGCTCGCGGTGTAACCTGTGGCCCGTACCGCGCATTACGAAGGCAATCGTAGCTATCATCTCATCGAAATAACTGGCCCATGATGCATTGTAGTTGGCCTTTTTTTGGCTATATAAGTTGGAATGCTACCAGACGAGAGACGATACCCCCGGGTGACCGACTTTTTCTCCTTGAAACCATGACGGGAGTCATTCGGAGAGCTCCGAGAGCGTGTATCGCGCTTGGTTCGGGGGTTATCATACTGATATACCGGTCACACGCGCGTGCCATAGGATCGGCTTGATTTTTCGGATGAGTCTGCCGTGAGTGAGCGCATCATCTTCACGACCGTTGACACCGCTGACGTTCGCGATAGGGCAGGTCCTACCGGTTCAGCTGCGGAGGTATCGTCCAATACACGACTTCATATCCATCTGGCCGCGCTTGCCATTGAGACCTCGCGGAAGCCGTTCGATTGAGTACGGAGCCAATCAGAGGCTGTCGTACCATCGCCCCGAAGTCATCAACGACTTGAGGTTCGTGCTCGAACCATATTCTTCCCAAGACCTTGTTGATAAGAACTTGCACAGTACTCTACCAAATGCTCATTCGTTTGAACCGACATGACTGTCACCACTGGCGACGTAGCTCCAGTACCCGCAGCGCTCGAACCTCTTCAGCAGGCAACCCCGGAGCGCCCAAAGGACGTTGGTATCCTCGCCATCGAGATGTACTTTCCCCTACGCGTGCGTCATTCATGTAGCGCACCACGATTTCACACTGACCAAGAGTGCAGTGCGTCTCTCACGAAGCTTTGGAAGAGTTCGACGGCGTCTCCAAGGGCAAGTACACCATCGGCCTCGGACAGGAGTTCATGGCCTGCTGCGATGACCGCGAAGATATTAACTCGTTCGCTCTGACCGGTGCGTGTCCTTAGCAGCATGACTACACCCTGTGTACTGACTCCGTGACACAGCTGTACATGATTTGCTCGAGAAGTACAACATCGACCCGCGCTCAATCGGACGCCTCGACGTCGGCACCGAGACTATCATCGACAAGTCCAAGGCGGTCAAGACCGTGCTCATGGACCTCTTCGCGGCGTCTGGCAATACGGACATCGAGGGCGTCGACTCGAAGAACGCATGCTATGGCTCCACCGCTGCGCTCTTCAACGCCGTCAACTGGATTGAGTCCTCTTCATGGGATGGACGCAACGCCATTGTCTTTGCTGGCGACATTGCTGTCTATGCCGAGGGCTCTGGGCGGCCGACGGGTGGCGCCGGCGCTTGTGCTATGCTCATCGGCCCGGGCGCTCCGCTGGTGTTGCAACGTGAGTCGCCGCCTATTTCGCCCACCCATTTCTGTACTGCGCGAAGCTCCCTTGCGTTCCTCATCCCCGCAAACATCGATCTCATGGCATGAAGACTAACCTTGCACGCAAAGCGACGCACGGGAACTATATGGCGAACGTCTACGACTTCTACAAGCCCAATCTCGATTCGGAGTACCCTCGATTCGACGGTCCACTCTCCGTCACATCCTACATCACGGCATTGGATCACTCGTACAAGTCTTACCGTGACAAGATCAGCAAGAAGATGCTCTCGAAACCTACGCCTGCGCCGGAAAGTGTCGATCTGGAGCCAGTCTTCTCGCTCGCGGACGTGGACTACAACATCTTTCATAGCCCGTATGGAAAGCAGGTGCAGAAGGCTCACGCTCGTCTGGTGCGTCTTCCATGTATCATGCTCTGATACTTGTGCTGACCAAACACTGCAGCTTTGGAACGACTTCAGGACCTTGCCCAACAACCCTGCGTTTGTCGGCGTCAAGAACGCCGTCGACGTACTTGCGCAGTCCTACCAGGAGTCCTTGACCGACAAAATGCTCGAGAGAGCCTTCATCGCCTTCGCCAAGCCCAAATACGACAAGAAGGTCGCACCAACGATGGCCGCCGCCAAGCGGTGCGGTAACATGTACACCGCCTCGCTCTACGGTTGCCTCGCCTCTCTCATCAGCGCGATTCCTCCGCAAGAACTTCTCGGGAAACGCTTGAGCATGTTCGCGTACGGTGGAGGGCTGGCGTCTTCGTTCTTCGTCATTCGCGTCAAGGGCGATACGAGCGGGATGCGCGAGAAGCTCGACCTAGAGAAGAGGCTTGCGGCTATGAAGGTCGTGCCGTGCCAGGAGTATACAGATGCGCTCAAGCTTCGTGAGGAGGGTCATGGATCCGTCGACTATACGCCGCGAGGCGCTGTCGTTAACGTTCGGCCGGGCACATACTACCTCGAGTCCATAGACGCGAGGTACCGTAGGACCTACCAGCGCAGACCCCTGTGATGATTGATCTCACAAAGTACCAACAAAGTATTCCATCTTAGACGTGGAACGGAAACGTATCTCATCAAACACCTTTATACAATCGGAACGTCTTGTACAGGTGCATGGTGATAGTTGCCTCTCGAACACGGCCTTCAGGTTGGAGAGATTAGAGGCATAATAGCGCTCGGAAAAAGGAAGCTGTCAGGGACAAGCAAACAGATACTCGAACACGGTACGGTTTCGTGAAGTAGTGTACAACTCCATGCATATACGGCGTCATTCAGGCACAATCAAATGTTCGTTGTTCGGCACAATGGTATACAATCTTAGGCGCCGGCGCTGATGTCAAGATAGACAGCGCGCCCCCTTGAGCACAGGTGGCCTGATGCCCAAGGCGAGCATGATAGCCCGAACGTCTCCGCGGACCTCGGTGACGGTCATCGCGTTCAACGTGGCCATGGCCGTCTGAGAAGCATAGTTCAGCATCGCGAAGTGTGCCGGTGAGGATAGCTCTCACCATATAGTTCATCTTGGCAGACTCAAGCTGCATTACTACATTCTCCAGCTCCTTCTGGTGCCGTTTGGCTGCGAAGAACCGCTTGAAGCGACTCTTACGCTCGGTGATGATATCCTCCAAATCCCCATTGAGCGACTCAACATCCCTACAATGGCTTTAGGGACGCACACCCACGTTCATGCGGAGGGCGTACGCTGCGAGAGCTCTGACTATCTCCTGATGTTCAGGCGTCGCTGGGCTGTCCGACTTACTCCCGCGTTCGAGCGAAGCGGCCAAGCCGTGGATGTGCTTGTAGACGTCGCGTATCTGCTGCTTGTTACTTGACGCCATCTCTCAACAGGTTTAGTACCCCCAGCCTGTATATGCAGCAATCGTGTCTATCCACTCACATCTGCATAGATTGCGAAGAAGAGCAGGCCACTCGCTGCGCTTTTCAGCGGCGGAAAGGCATCCGAGGACTGCACGATCGCCTGCAGCGTCACGAGAAGGACGTCCTTGGCTATTGTTCCAAAAGCGGCATGTCGGTCCGATGTCGCCGAACTGCCGGTCGGCTTTGGTGTAACGAGGATCAGAGTCAGTCTCGCCAGTTCTGCCTCATGTTGAGCATCGTCTGTCGTCCCGAGGTCAATCACACTGTATACGGGGAGCAGGATACACGCACAATCGGACTTGAAACCGCGAGCAAGGTCGTCCATGACGCCAGTTAGGAGGAATAGTTCGAAGAATATATGCGCAAGGCAGATTTTTCTACGTCCTATCCGCGCATATGGCATTTGCAGGATGGCATCCATAGTCGTGACCGCAAGAGACAATAGCTTGTTGCTGCACGAATGGTGTGACGGCTGTCCCAAGCAGTTCTGCGAGAAAGTGATGGTTAGCACTCGAGTTGCTAGGATAAGGATGCGCGGACGAAGAAACTGGGATGCGCGATAGATCCATCGGTGGAGGAAGTATGCATCGTTATTGCCAATCTACGTCTTGTCTCAGGATCATATGGAGACGAAGAGGGTGCTCGAACATACCTTGAATCGGTACATGATCTGAACGAGGGGTAACAGTCGGCGGAACAGAGCCTCCCACGAAACCTCTGCTGACGGTATGGCGGCATTCAACCCGTCGTGTCGGGATTTAGATTTTCTCGCCGCATAAGATCCACGCCGTAGCTTCAACATCTCGTCGGCGACACCATCAGAGACGCATGAGACGGATACGAAGAGCGTACACATAGTATCCATCTTCATGTCCCCTTCTGAGTGAAGCAATACTGTAACTATAAGTAAGAGCCACTCTTCACGTTGTCTAGAGAACGATGCTCAGACGTACCCTCAGATGACGTGAGTATTTCGCGAACAGACACGCATGTGCTACATAAGTGGGTGGCGGTATCATCTCCAAATAGATATATGGATATGGAACCGAGTTCCAGGCACTCGCTGAATGTATGATAAGCAACAGTACGCCTCAAGCAGCATCGAGAGACTCACATGTACAGTGTTTCCTCCCACTCTGCCGCATGAGAAAGACATCGAATATGTATTGGGACGGCCCGAGAACGGGTGTGCTTGATGTTATCACCCGAGATGTACTCGAAATAGACGTAATACGACTCCGGATGACGAGAGGTGATGCTCTCCAATGGAATTTGGGGCGGAGAAATACCCGTGCACTTCTTTACTACGAATGGCCGTCAGGACTGATGATCAGGAAAGTCAGCTGCACACACTCACAATCAATACGTAGCCGTATTTCCTTGGCCGCCGCCGTTGTATCTGCTGACCTTGGACCGAAGACGGGGGGTCTAGGGGCAAGGCTCAGCCGTATGTCCTGGAGGTGACAAGTGGTGCGTACAATGGGCTCCGCGCATCGGACATGGTTTGAACGAGCCGGGTAACGGCGAGGTGTGCTGGAGAAACAACAAGACGATTTGTGGGGAGACCAAGAAGGTGAGTGTTCGAGATAGGGAGAACTACTCTTGAAGGATAGCCTTAAGTACCGCGGCAGACAGAAGCGTTATGAGTCGCACACTCACGAGCTTCTCCCGCGATGCGACTGTGACCTATGTGAAAATGCAGCGCACAAAGCTGAACCCGACTATCATATCGCCTCGGCTCAGATGGCTCACGCAGCATTCGCGCATTTTGGCTATCTTATTCTCGCTTGTTCATATGGGGAACATCGCCATCTTGTACGATGGAGCCCAAGCAACAGCGGTGGCGCTGTGCCACACCACCCTTGAGAGTTTTCGAGGTATCCGGCTGCTATGTCGGGCAACGCGCGTGGCCAGGTCTACGCCAGCAGTAGTAGTATTTCACTTCGATACGAGGAGCGGAACGAGATTAATAGACGCGGTGGTGGTGGCAGCTTGAGGTATGGGTTGAGGAGCAGGAAGCGCTTCGAGGCCAAAGGTTGCATGTACGCCGTACGTCCCGATATATCTTTCGTGTTGGTATGGGTAGAGAGATCAAGTTGATATTGAATGCCGCCACGGAGCTTGAGAGGCTCGGTCAAGCGCATGCCGCTGTCATGCATCATTTCATCATGAGTGTTCTGAGCAACGAGAGGGCCACGCGCAATGTTCGTTTAGCGCGCATCGGCAAAGCCGGGCCGATAAGAGCCTTGCTCAGCGCGCTTGTACAAGTTGCAGCTTGCTTGCAGCGCACATTCACAGTGCGTGTACATATCCTCCCACCGCCACACTTTCCCGTGGCATCATCGCCAGCCGATATTTTTTTATCATTCGAATGGCTTCCAAACATCGAACCAGCTCTGTACTGCACAACGCCAGCCCGAGCCTCGCGCGCGTGTGACATGCTTGTCCCTCCCCACAGGCCTAGGACCACCCTCCCCCGTACCACGCAACAGCCTGTATAATAGACGACTTACTCTCACCGTGCTCTCGTGGCTCACGGAAAGCTCTGCTCTCAACACGCCATCGTTATACCCTTCAACGCCATCGGTACATTCTGGATCTTCCCGGCGCTCGGCACTCCCCATGCAGGACTGCAAGAAAAGAAGGATTTGGAAATTGAACCGCTCAGTTCTATCGCGATACAACCTACTGCGCTAGCCCCACCTCGCGCGCACTTTCGAACTTCGCACTCTAGATCGCGTGGCGTGGCCTTAAAGTACGTCCTTCACGGATTGTGCCACCTTCCTCGTGCTCATCAGGCGCTGCAGATCTGGAATGAGATTACACAACTTCGCCCAATAACCTCGCCTTTGCTGGTGTCAAGAACTCTGCCGACGTACTCGTGCAGCCCTCCTAGGAGTTTCTGACCGACAAGTCGCTGGACAGTGTCTTCATCGCCTTCGCCAAGCCCGAATACGACAAAAAGGTCGCGCCGACGATGGCCGTCGCCAAGCGGTGCGGTGACAGGTACACCAACTCCCTCTGCGGCGGCCTCGCCTCGCTCATCAGCGCTGTTGCTCCACAAGAGCTCGTCGGAACCGCATACGATACGGTGGACGACTGGCGTCTTCGTTCTTTGTCACGCGTCAAGGGTGATACGAGCGAGATGCACGATGAGCTCAATCTGGAGCAGAGGTCTGCAGCTACGAAGGTCAAGCCGTGCCAGAACTATACAGGGGCGCTCAAGCATCGTGAGGAGGATCATAGTGCCGTTGAATGTGGATAACGTTTGGCCGGACACATATTGGATGACTTCCCGTAACGTTTTTGGCGTCCTACACGCGTCCTACACTCGCTGTTGCTCTGGAAACGGGCCTGATTAGGCAGCACGCAGCTCAGCGATCAAGGTCGAGGAAGTTTTGCGCTGTCCTACTGCCCCATCAAGATCTATCGGGACGAAAGAGTAGGAAGGGGTCGGGACCCCTTCCTGGACGCGAAATCCTGCTCGCAATCAAAATCTCAGGCCAAATCAGGCCAAATCGAGGTGCGCAGAGGGTGCGTTCCTCGTGAAATGGCCGAATATGGGTGATGGGCACCGAGAACGTCCTGCACAGTCGCCGAAAGAGGCTGCAGCGCATGGGCGACTTACGGCTTTGTCGCGTCGACGAGGCGTTCAAAAGTAGTCGCGTTACGGTTTGCGACTCGTCCTACACTGAGCCCGTGCCTGCCATCATGATCCCTCGCTGGGCCGTGTAGGACGGCGAAAACGTTACGGGAAGTCATCCATTATCCGTATCTACTCATTGATTCTCCGCCCAATTATAAACACATTCTTCGATGTTCAAGTTTCCTCGATACGTGATGTCCCGGAAGGAAACGTAACGAGGTTCCTGCGAGGTCCAAGAAGCGATGGTGTAGGGTTGACACCCATGACAAGAGATATGGCCTGCACATGAGCGAGAATTCGGGCGCTTGTCGTCGCGTTCAATGTCGCGACTGCGGTCTGCTCGGTGAAAAGAAGGCCGCGTCAGCGTGATCGTCGACCCTGACGATGCCATTGCCAAAGTAGATGCTGACCATGTAATTCATCCGTGCATTATCCAGCTGCCATATGACGTCCTTCAACTCTTCGCGATGCCGTTTAGCGCTGAAGTATCGCTTGAAGCGGCTCTTGCGTTCCTTCACGATGTCCTCGAGGTCTTGGTTGAGTTCGGTTACATCACTACGGAGATGTCAGTGTGAATCGAAGGCAGTCAAACTTGAAACGGGATATGCACCGGGCGAGGGTTTCGATGGCATCTTGATGCGCCGGCGAGATCGGTTCACCATGTGCGGTGCCGCGCTGCAGTGAAACGGCGAGGTCGTCTATACGCCTATATATGTCACGGATCTGTTTCTTGCTGCTGGATGCCATCTTTGTACAAGTTAGGATCGCGAATGATGAAATGATCGCGCACGGACGCACTTCCGCATACGTCACGAAGAACATGAGTCCGCTAGCAGCGCTCTTGAGTGGTGGGAACGCGTCTGTGGATTGAGCGATTGCTTCGAGAACCAGGATGATGGTGTCTTTTGCAATGGACGCCGAAGTGGCGCGCTTGTTCGCGGAGGGTGACGTGCTGGCGGCGATGGCAGATGCTGGGCTCGGTGTAGCAATCAGCCAGACAATTCTGGCCAATGCTGAGCCCGTGTCATCGAAAGTGGCGGCGGAAACACGATGAAATTCTACAATACGTGCGTCGGTTCAGAGCACCATCGTACAAGATATATATCACTCACCAGGGGTGCTAGGCGTCTCATGTATGTTCCATGTGACATAGCGAGCCGACAAATTTAACGCATCGAATGCGACGCGTAGGTGTTCCTGACCATTCTTGAGGCATGCGTAAGGGAGACGAAGGATGGTCTCCAACGTTGTCACCATGGACATCAGCAGGAAGTCTCTTTTCGTGTGGCGAATAGGGGCCCTATCATGTAGGAGAGCCTAAAAAGAGTGAAAACTTCAACTGCGGGCGATACATTTCCGCTTACATAATACGAGTAGAACATACCCTCTTGAACGATGAAGGCATCGCGATCTCCACCAATCTAGGTCCCGGGTGAGTGGAAGAGCTGATATGAAGGTGATAACAACAGAGTCATGACACCTTCAAAGGACCTATATTATGAACAAGATCCGATACTGTGCCAAGGACGGTGTGCCAGGGATCCATGATTTGCAGCAATTCTGGCCCGCCACGAATGAGCCTGGGTTGCAATGGGTACTGGTTACGCGCTCTCATTCTGGCCGTACGTCTGATGCTACGTTTGGGCGAGTCGTCCTTGCACAGAAGCTCGCCATCAGAAGGCAGAGATGCTGAGAGGAAGAGGGTGCACCCCGTCAGGTCCGGCGGCTTTCGCCTAAGCTTGAAAGCCGGGTCGCAGTATAGCTCGGGAGTGAGTGGTACTGTATGTATACGTAGTCACCATCGAGACCCCGACTTTGGTTTCATTGTTCCTTGGCTCACCCTTTCCAACGGTGAACAGGTCACGAACCGGAATGCACGCCCCGCACACGTTGTATTCACCAAAGAGGGTAGTGCAGAGTACGATGTTGACGAGGCTATGTTCCAGACAATCCCTAAAGAAAGCTTTAGCCACGTACTCAGCGGATCAGCACGATAGACAGCCCGACTCACAGGTACAAATCGTCATTCCATTGAACTGTTCCGCGAAGCGATTTCATTCCCTCCAGGACAGGCTTGGTTTCCCCTTCAATGTCGTCGTAATAAGAGATGGTTCTGAATCTAACGAAAAATAAGGCGAGATCGTCAAGTTGATCACAGCCGTAACCGAGCTGGGGTAACCCCCGGCAACCTTCAACTATGATGCTACCGTGAGTGCTCGGCAAATGAGGGATGATCGGGACATACCATGAATGCGAATGCGCATGTCTTTTCCTAGTGCATCGTTCCCGACATCTGCGATCTGAGGACTTGACAGCTTCGTCAGTTCACTTCCATCCCATAAGCTCATTCAAATATGGCGTTAACGCACACAGAGTTTGAGGGGCCGACCATTGTACTGTGACAATTCGCCGGCTTGTCGTCGCAAGGGAGATGGTGGTCGAGGGTCAGCGTGAAGAGGGTCATTAGTCGCCTCGACCAGGCTCAGATCAGATAAGCGTCACGGTCATAATAAGAAGCGCCATAGCATGGGCAAGTCCAAGACCATCCGCATTTGCGCCACGGCGCTGTCGAATGGGAGATGGAGGACTGCCCGTGAAACCCGACGTGTACTAGCATCTTTCGCACGTCGTGACATAGATGCACGACACCGTCGCGGCAGAAGATAGGTGGATGATGTGCGAGGCTATATCTTCTGGCGTGACTCCGGCCAAGCTTGCATTCGGAGAGTCCCGTGCGGCTCTGTATGTGCAGTTCATCGTGGCCTATCGTGGCGGAAGACAGGCGCGTCGACACCCTTCGCAGCGGCTGATGACAGGGCCACAGTTTCTCCCACGATGTACTTCGATGTTGATGCTGCGCGCGCGGCGCGCTCCACACCACACGACCGCTCTGCTCTCAAACAGCTCCTCGCAGATGGCTGTCTCCCTTTCACCGCGTATACCCACGTGTGGCCAACCAATGAACTACAGGCGCGGGTACGATGGACACACGCCGCGCGCTAGATCTTCGGGGACGATGCTGGCACGCCGTCCATCCTCTCCCTACAACTGGGATCGGGATTATGATGATGGAGCGTAGTCAATAAATTGACAACCCTGTTCCGGGCCAAATAATGTGTCATTCTAGCGTAGACTGCCCATCGAAAACACCGCGTTGGACGACCTCTTCCCTACTGAGTTGCTGGATGGATGGACGTTCTGCGGCTTGCGACCGATGGAGACGGCGTACGAGTGCGCTTGCATCGTCCTGCGAGGTGTACTGGCAGCGGATGATGACACTAAGCAAGGGATGGATTGGTGATGCGGAGGGGTGAGAGGTACGTCTAAGCGAGTGCTTTAGTTTCGTACGCTACTAACGTATCCTCAGGTCGCGGTGTTCTCGAATGGTGCACGCTCATGCGGAAACCTCTCAGCTATGATCTATCATCCTTCTGTTTTAGGGACGTTCAGCACGAGTATGCATCTGTCTAATATCTAGGACTGGATATCCTTGGTAAGTACATCAGTCGTACATGATGAAACATTCGCGCCATTGCCGGCGCTCAGCGCTCAAAACCGAGACCGATACATCGTAGTCAGTGTTCTTCACTGTGTACTCCTATCATCAAGCCTCCTCGATGCGAGCTACACCGACGGGAAAGCTGGAAACGTCCGCACGCCGCGTTCCCGGAAGGTGCATTGGAGTTGCTCCTACGAGAAGCGTATAAGCTTGTACGTGGGCATTCACGTTCGCGATCGTCGTCGCGTTCAGTGTGACCACGGCCGCCTGTGAACACGATCCATCATCAACAGCGGTGCCACTATATATGGTGATGTGGCTCACGGTATAGTTGCCGCGAGCTTCGTCCAACTTCCTGGCGACGCCTTCGAGCTTCCTCTGGTGTTTCTTCGCGCTGACGTACCGCCTGAGGCGGCTCTTGCGTTCGGCGACGATCTCTTCCACCGCCCCATTCAGTTTGTTGATATCCCTGAAAGTCCAGATATCAACGGCACTTCTGGTGAATGATCTCCCCACAGCATACCTCGCGAGAGTCTTGATTGTGTTGTCCAGCGCAGGGCTGAGCGGAGAGCCGTCCGTGATCACGAGCTTGAAGTACTCCACGAGACTGCCGATGCGCTCGCACATCTCGCGGATATCCTCCTTATTGCTCGATACCAACTGCACACAGCGCGGTCAGTACACGTCGAGCTCTCGGAAAGCCAAGTACACTCACGTCTGCCCAGGTCACAAAGAACATCAGTCCTCCGGCGACGCTCTTCAATGGCGAGAGGGCGTCGGAAGACTGGGCTAGGGCATCTAGTGCACAAAGGAGCACGTCCTTGGCGATAGTCCCGTAGATTGCGGTCCAATCGCCGCCGGTGGAAGTGCTGTTGATCCCGGTAGGCGGGTCCGGTGTGACGAAGATTAAGACGAGTCTTGCTAGCTCTTGTTCGCGATATTCGTCAGGGAAATCGGCTATCATCCGGATAGCGTCAGTAAGAAACTCCATACTGCTACGTATACGGACACCTACGGTCTCGATTATTGGCACGATAATACATGAGATCAGATAGCCAATATAGTTGCCTAGCGATTTGCCCGAGGCAATCCTTGCTCTGCAGCATACGCATGAATCGAACCTGTACACATGTATTGACAGCGTTCATGAAGGTATCGACTAAATTGGTGATTTGCGGGTTATTGAATTGTCGAGTACTGCATGCCTGGAGGGATCGCGGCTTAGTATTGTGCGCGCCGGCTCATGTGGTGATCGATGGACCTGGTATGCTTCGTGGACATAGAGCTGGGTACAGAATGTATCGTGGACGGGAGTTCTCACAAACTACGCATGAAGCCAGGTTTGAGGATAGCGCTCGTGCAGGAGTATTTGGACGCACATTTGCTCGAGAGACGGCTCCCGCAAAAGAGGATAGTCCACGAAAAGCAGCTTCCCATGAGATTGCTGTCGATCGCAATCCCGAGTGAGCATCTTTAGCTTTAGACACCACACTGCTTTCGTCGTCGAGTTCGCAGTTTTCTTCTTCGGCATCGGTGGGAACTGTGGAGGCGGAGATATAGAGAGTGCATTCTATAGTGGTCTCGTGGCGAAATGGGGTCCATGATAGCGGTGGAAGGGTTACTAGGCGAGGGTGGTCCCCCTCAGCGCAATTCCGATACATGCCGTGTATAGTACGCACTGGAAGAAACTTGTAACAGATCTCCAGCAGGGCAGACACACTCGGCGATTTCGTTGTATTCCCCATCAAATAAGTATATTTGAATGATACTGTGGTCAAGGCAGGTACTAGACGGATATCAGGAGATATTGCACCGATTCAATCTCACGAAGGAGTCAGACGTACATATATAGCGTCTCATCCCATCGTACCGTGCCTTGGTGGCAGCCTGTACCCTCATAAACGTTCGAGGAGGGGACTGAGTCCACACCTCGGCTCGAGATATACCAAATTCCGACAAAGAACTCTCGAGGCGCAGAACCTTCGGCCGAAAGCGTCGATCGAGGTAGTCCTTTGCACCCGTCAACTGATGGAGCATTAATACGAAATCGGTGTGTGATGGAATGGAGCAAGGCTCACGATGAATGCTCAGATGTATCTCCTTGACGAGTGGACCGGGTTGTGTAACTCTTGGCGGGCCGAAGCCAGGAAGCCTAGACAAAGGTCAGAGAGACTCGTCGGAGCAAGGTGCGCGTGCGCATACAAAGAGCCTGCCATCTCATTGGCAGATCACTGCAATGAAAGCTCGATGCTACAGGAGAGAAAGACAGCAGAGATCGGTGGGATCTGGGGACGGGCGAAGAGGTGGAAAGAGGAGCCAAGAGACGTTCAAACATCGACAGCCTGCAATGCCTTCGCCGCGTGTACCGTAGGCGCCACCACATATCGCACGGTCATAGCGCACGACAGCTGCCCGGCCCCGGTCGAAGGCTTCGCAGGCTTGGGGCGCTTGTGGCCCGTCTTTGGCTGTATCTTCCCAAGCCTCGGCAAATAGACCGCCGCTTGTAGTCGGAGGTAGGCGGCGAGCGACGTAACTTCGCGAATCAGACCTATACATAGTTTCACGGTACATAGAACAATCGTACATCTTCGACCCTTTCTGGTCTTGTTCTCATCGATCCTGTGCGCGGGAACCCGCACGACGGATATAGCACCGCCGTTGAGCGACTCGAGGGGGCGAAGCATGGACTGGTCCCGATCCGTCTCCTGGGTGTGCTGATGTAGCTTCCATTGTAGCCCTCCTATAGAGGGCAAGGACGTCAGTATACTGGTGCCATCACGAGCTGCAAGATAGGAATGCCATGAGGATGTATCGTGAGGATATCTGGCCGTAACATCCAAGGGGATATCTGGCGCAGTGTGTGGGTCACGCGCTTCATCCGCGGGGACCACCTGTGCGCTCAAGCGTCACAATCCCATCAACGAAGGCACCGCGCAAGCGCGTATTGGCGTGTTCACGCGGCTCGCAAGCGAGCCGCGCCGAGCGCAGACGCGAGGAGGTGGTGGACTGATGTAGGCTGTTCATGTGTTACGAACGCAGTGGCTCGTGCAAGCCGTCACCGAAAACCTTCTGAGAGCGGCAAAGCTCTCGCAGCGCGCACCCAAACTGAGAGCCAACTCCCGACAACCAGACCAGAACAATAATCGAATCCGGAGAACGCACCTCGGATGCATGATCCAAATGACGGTCCTCATCGTCCGACGTGGTCCGATGGTGTAACCCCGCCGGCCCAACTAGCAGATCTCCAGTACTATCTACATAGTGCGCGTATCCACGATTCGTCCGGCCCGTTATGTTCGCGCTAGCCAAAGAAAGGAGAAGAGGCATCGGATGCCTTAGTCTTCGTGCTTGTGCCTGCCGGGCGCGTTAGAACATGGGAAGCAAAGAAGAGGTGGGGACAGGAGAGGGCGTACTCTTCGAATGATATCTGCAACTTCTTTCCATACGTCTCTCCAGGCCCTCCTCGCTGGAACTATCTTGCTGGAACTATCCATGTTGCGATTCTTGTACCCTCTTTGCTTTTCCACGGCGTTCATGCTCTCGTCCGAAGCGGTCGACCAGCCGGGACGGACCACTCTGGCGCGCCGATGGACTCGAGCTGCTCAAGTGAGACCAGGCGTGGGCATGTCGGACACATATTCGACGCGTTGTGTGTTGGGTACTTGTCCGTATTCAACGTACGCGTCCATCTTGAAGTTCGAGGGGTTCGAGGGGAGACGAGCACGGAGCCATGGCTGCGATGATGATGGTAGACGACAACATTTCGCGCGCAGAGGAAATTGAAGCGTGCGGTTCGCTGTGCGCGCACTTGTTCTCAGACCACCACGGGCGTCACACAGCAAAGCTTGCGATATGCGTCTATGTACAAGAATCGTCACGCGTTCTCAGTCTCAGCTACGAGCAAATATACTGCATGCACTCTATCGAACTCTGTATAAAGCTCCCATCTCCTACTAGGTATCCCGCTTGGCTGGCTCGCAGTCGGAGCCATTCCTGATGCAAGCGCGGCCGTGCGCCACCCGCTCCCGATCAGACCTCTTCGAACCGTGAAGACGCGAATGGAAACGACACGGCGTCCATCGGGCGAGTACCAGGCATATGCATCGGGCTCGCGCCCATGATGAACGCCATACCTCGAACATGAGCCAGAACCTGCGCGTTCGTCGTCGCGTTCAGCGTCGCGACCGCCGTCTATGCGAACTGGTCAGCGCGGCCGAGGATGGTGCTAACATCAACGGCATCAGGACACACCGTGTAGTTGGAACGGGCATTGTCCAGCTGCCACACGATATCTTGCAGCTCTTCGCGATGGCGCTTCGCGCTGAAGTAGCGCCTGAAGCGGCTCTTGCGCTCGTTGACGATGCTCTCGAGATCGTCTTTCAATGCGGTTATGTCGCTGTATGTGATTTATAGAAGCGCCTGGCTTATCGTACTGAAACACGTACGCTGCGAGAGCGCTGATGGCCTCTTGATGCGCCGGCGCGAGCATGCTGCCCTCTGCTGCGCCGCGTTTGAGTGAGGCGGCTAACGCGTCGACGCGCTTGTGGATGTCGCGGATATGCTTCTTGTTACTAGATGCCATCTTCTATGAGCGTCAGAGTCTTGTTGACATCCGCACGCTCGCGATTACGCTCACATCTGCAG